GCCACTACATACATTTTATTCTTTTTAAAATTGAATTGATTATTTAATCACTTTGCGAGCCTATATCCCGTATCTCCAATTTGAATCGGCGTTCGCTTACGTTACGTGGCGACGTATCAGGCGTGTGCAGCGTGCAACGGTTAAATTGTGTATTTGGAACGGAGATAAATTGGTAAATAAAACCATGCTTCAGTCCATAGTCTTAACCAAGTCAATAATTGTAGCAGTCGTGACGGTAGCGATGACATGCGCGTGTGTGATGAGACGTAATTCCCCGCCACTACGACAGGCCGAAACCGCACCTCCGATTTGCAACGGTTGGCTACGTACGGCGCGAAAGAAGTTCAACGTGCACACGTACAGACCGTCTGGATGACCGTGGCCCAATCGGCAGGAGCACGCACGTCCTTCATCAAGACCACGAGGCCTCTGCCACCACTTGAACAAACACATTCCTGCGGAGGGAGCTGGTAGGAACGTTGGGTTGCTCGGTCAATGGCCAGGGTCAACAGCGGCGTGGTGTATTCCGCAAATATGCCCGACTGTGAGGGCGGGCACAAGCCGGCGTGAGTAGGTTAAACGTTGAGTTTCATAAAGGCACCGCGGGTGACCAGCCCCTCCCCACCCAGCCCCACCCTCCCCTCCCAGCCCTCCCTCCCCACCCAGCCCCTTCCTGCACGACGGACGGACACAATAATCCACTGTGGGCTGGTGTAACCTGGCGGTTCCTACCAGTATCATTATTGCAATTGTACTCCTCCCTCTCACCGATGTCACTCACGTGCCCTCACCTCGAATCGATGTATATATGCATTCTCACAATGTTAGTTCTGTTTCTTGTCATTTGTGTTTGGGGTTTATCTGCTTAGTTTGCAGAGTTGTCTCTCGGTTCGCCTGGAATATAACCGCATATTTGCACGTTTTTTTTGTAAACGAATCCGTACTCAATTATCGCATGCACGTGTAGTGTATTGATGCATGTACGAGTTGACACGTATCCCTCAATAAGTGTTAAACCGTTTCCTACACGCATCTATTGGGTGTCAGATAAGCCCTTGAACCCCTTTCACATCCATGCATTTCTTTCGGACGTCATCTTCCAGCGAGCCGACTCTTCAAAAAATATTATTCTGTAAGCTTGGTCAGTTCGAAGCTTGGTGAATAGTCATTATGCGTGGCATCATGGTCCCCCCAGAGTCCTTTTAATATTTTCTCTCCACTAGATGGCAGCAGCCCTCAAATAAAAGCGACATTCGTGAAATATCATCACCGGCCAGAAGAGGGCATTCGCCAGGCCCCAAGCAGACACGGGACCTGCTATTCGGGTTATTTTTTAATGAATTGAATAATTGTAATTGTAGGAATATAATCTAGATTTGAAGCTTTCGTGACTGCAGGAATCCATACTCTTTGGTTCTTTCGGTAACGTACGTGACTTTACCGAAAGAACCAAAGCGTGCAGGAATATTACTCACTAGAAAATGCAATTGCACCTTTGCAAACGAACAGGCACCACCTACAAATAGTCCAACTGCTTCGCTCACACTGTGCACAGGTTTGTAACAATGGTGGCTATGCACGTGGCTGCCTCTGTGGAGGTAGCAGCGAGGATTGATGGATCACCGCACAGATGTTGTGGAGCTCCCTTCCGGTTGGCGTCCAGGAGGTGCTGTACCCTGGCTCGCCAAGAGAAGGCGGTACAGCAAATTGACTAATCGCAATCTGTTTCCACCTGTACGGGGATCGAGTGTTGCCCCCTCTCGCGTGTCCGTTTCCTCCAAAGTGCTCCGGTTTCTTCCCAGTTGTTTCATCACTCATGAAATTGGCTGAAACTATATTGAAAGAAAACCCCAATGATGATTCGGCACTCAGGAAGAAAATGTGTCCTTACCCCTGAATGAATCCAACGATGTTTACTGCACCAGTAGGTGCTGGGCTATCACCACATGTCCTCCCACAAGGTTGCGTGCAATTCCTGTCTGGGAAGCCTGGGCTGGAAGTCACTTCGTGCCCGACTTTGGAGTCACGGCAGGTCTCTACCACGCAAAGACAGAGACCCTAACAGACTTTTGGGTTAGTGCCGTCAGTGAGCAGCACCTATGAAGGCCGGCACAGCACATGATGGGGATGAGTGGCCAACACCACGCCCGGCCGCCTTTGTCACCCCAGTGGCGATGTTTACACACCACGCCAAGTACTCGTTTGAGGCCGAGTCGACCTAGGGAGGTCCAGGACCGGTTCAGATTATCGTCATTGGTGTTGACCACAATAGGAATCTAACTAGGGTCACCGCGTTTGTATCGCAGTGCACTAACCGCTCCACTACCATACAAGTGGCGGTTACGTCACCGCGGTGCTTGTGCCAGGCTAGGTGCACTTTGAAGCCGTTTGAAGTTTTTAAAGTTTCGCTGACAAGAAGTCACGGGACAGACCCAGGTGCCACGGGTTGACTGAGATGACTTGCAAATGCACCACCTGTGCTTCAGGCGCACACACAAACACACCACACACTCCCCCTCACTCTAGATAGGGCGTGATAAGGCAGCTGAACAGTTTCCTACGGGGAGGGGGGGGGCTGCTGCCCACGTGTTCCAGCTGGAGACTCCCCCTGAGCTCCAGAGCCTCGCTTCAGCAATGTCACTGGGACACGCGCTTACTCAACAAATCGGGTGCCGATGGGATGACTCTCACGGTGAGTGGGAAAACACAGCCCGAACTTAAACAATGGCAAACGAACAAAAAATTATACACGGTATAAGGACAATGAAAACTTGAGATGTTTTGAGAATTTAAAAAAAAATGATACACGCGCTCACATGAACATCCCACCAACCCCACCAAACTAAAATAAAAAAAATCTGAACGTGCGATTGGCACCGTATTGGTGCTTTTTAGAAAACGACAAATACCCAAACGTAAGCAGTAAATGAAAAGAAACCCTACCCCCCCCCATTATTCGTTATATACGCTTGCATGAATACACTGCGTAGCTATGTAGACGCGTGTGCACATTGTGTGCGCGTGCGTATATACTGCATTTAAACGACCTCCGTCAGGTTTTCAAAACGCATCGGACGCCCCCTCCCCACCCATTTTTTGTGTGTGGCACTGCAGCAGAGAGACCCCCCCTCCCCCGATGGGCTCGCGCCCAGGGTTTTTCGCCACCTTTTGATTCGAATTTCCACAATCGAGACCAGCGGCGGGCAACCAAAACCACGGCGGGCAACCCGGACCACAATCGGCGGGCAACCCAAACCACGGCGGGCAACCCAAACCACGGCGGGCAACCCAAACCACGGCGGGCAACCCAAACCACGGCGGGCAACCCGGACCACGGCGGGCAACCCAAACCACGGCAGGCAACCAAAACCACGGTGGCAATCCGGACCACAATCGGCGGGCAACCCGGATCATGGTCGGCGGGCCTCACGAGCAGGCCCCCCCTCCTGCACCCCCGGTGGGCCGCAAAGCTTCGACGTCGTCGCGGTCGTGCACCGAGCGTGACCGCCGCCCCCCACCCCACCCCACGCCATCGACATCGAGACACCGACACCGGCGGGCCATCACGAGGGGCTCCGCGGGAGGGCACGAGGCCCCGCACGAGGCCCCGCACGGTTGCCCACCAAGACACGCACGCCGGCGATTCGAGGCGGCGTGAATCGCCTACTAGGACTGTGCACATGCATGACGGTCGGCGTCCCGAAATACTTTTGGTGTGACCATACACTCGCTTGCACTTGTCACACACACATGTAAGAGAAGCATGTGTCAGAGCATACAAGCATAGACATGCTGCCCCCCCCCCCCCCGCTTGTTTGGCCTCCATTTGGCCCGGTGAGGCACGAGTTGCTAGATTAGCGAGCACCTATTAAGGCCGGCGCTGCGCCGTGATGGTGTGTGGTTTTTGGCGAGGTGGGTGTCCCGCCATCGGCTGTTCACCCAACGCACGCACGCGCTCGCACTCTGCAGCTCGATACGGATAGCAACCGACTCACTCACAAACAGATACCCCCCCCCCCTTATGGCCATACAGACTGTTAAGGCAAGTGCTGTTAGCGAGCACCTATGTACGGTGCGAAATAAGTTCAACATACACAGGCAATGCGAACAAGGGGGTGTTGTGGCCAGCATCGCTTCCAGCTGCCGCCTTTGCGTCAACAGCGCTTACGTTTACACACCGTACCAGGGTAATCATTTATGTACGAGCCGACCTAGGGGAGGCCTAGGACCAATTCACATTTAAGTCACAGACGTGAACTTTGGCCGGGCATCGAACTTGGTTTGCTGGGTGTGCAGCGCAACATGCTCACCACTCACTGTAGCTCTCCGACAGCTCTACCCCACGCATTCACTCGCACGAGCACACTCGGGTAGGCAACACGCCGACACTGTCACACATGCACGCGAACGAAGACACACACACACACGCGTGTAGGAGCGTGCACGAGCTGGAGCTCATGCGCCAGCTGACATCCGATCTCTGTTGCCGTCGCTGCTGCGTTCCTGCTGCTCGCTTCCCCCGCGCCTCCTCTCCCTCCTCAACCGAACATGGTGAGGTTCAGGAACTGCGGGGGGCAAAGAAACGAGACGACGGGCGTCATCAACGACCCAAGAAGAGCGACTTTCACACGTGGCCGATCCTCGTCCTGAGAGAACAAGGCTCAAGAATCGGCTTCCTGCGCGGCACCAGGTGAGCGGGCGAGCGACAACGCGAGAGACGTGGGTGAGCAGGTGAATGGGCGAAAGGACAAGTGAGAAAGCAAGTGGGAGGGTGAGCGAGAGAGCGAGCGGGTGGGTAAATAAATGTATGTATTATGTTGAACTTCTTTCGCGCCGTACGTAACCGACCATGCTAACCAAGCACAAAAATTGACAAAGAAATAACTGAGTGAGAGAGCACATGGAAGAGGAGGCCATTACATCGGTTAACGAGCAGATGATTGGACGAATAAATGAGTGGGAGAGTGAGCGAGCGAGTAGGTGGACAGGCAGATAAGGAGCTATGGGGCAAGAAAGTTGGCGTTCGAGTGTCGCGATGGTAAGTTGCTGGGCATGGCGGTGAGCGAGCTGGTGAGCGAGCTGGTGAGCGAGCTGGTGAGCGAGCTGGTGAGCGAGCTGATGAGCGAGCTGGTGAGCGAGCTGGTGAGCGAGGCTCTGACCGGGCAGCAGAACGTTTACGAGCTAAGTTTGACGATGCGTAGCGTCGTATGCCCCGACGAGCACAAGTGAGGGCCCACAAAAACGGTCAGCGCATTATCGCGCGGCGCTTCCAGACGCACGTCTGCGGCCGTCTGGAACGCTCTTCCTTCCGATATTAGGAAGCCATTGGAGCTATGCACTTTTAAATAATCTGGATTGAAAACTCATCTTTTAGAACAGTTTTTTGTGCTTACTTTTTTGTCCTTTCCCCGCACCTCCGATTGCCACGGTTGGCTACATACGGTGTGAAAGAAGCTCAACATACTGTACGTAAATACGCAGCCAACTCACCTCGGGCAGTTTGAGCTTAATGGTTCCATCACCATCCTTGTTGAGGGCCTGGAATATCCCTGCAAGATACAAAAACGCAACGAGATTTGGTGTCACGTTTAACCCTCGCCAGACATACCTGCCACGTGGATCCCCTGGCCATGCAAGTGAATTGCCTAACCCTAGCTAAATATCGTGGCGAATGTAGGACGTTCTGTTTTCAGCCGTTTATTTGTTTGTTTGTTGAGCAGCTGGAGGTGTCAAGGTAATCTACAAAGCCTGGAAGTTGATCGTGGTCTTCGAGCACCGGAGGCGCGCACCCCCTGGGTCTTCGGAGATGGCCGACGATTTCCGACGGTCGCCGTCTCCTTGAGACCTGTGATGGCACCCTCCACCACCCTCCCCCCCTCCACTTCCCCCCCGACTCACGGAACATGGTCTCGAGCCGCACGAGGCAGCACAGGTAGTTGTCGAAGTCGATGACTCCGCTCTCCTCCATGTAGCGCATGGTGATGGTCTGTGTCAGCTGGTCGTTCAGACGGAAGCCTGTGGAAGGATTGCGAGAGCATCTCAACAAGGAGACGTACGTGTATAACTACGTATTGTAGATTACACATTCTTTGATAATATACATACGTATGGTGAGTAATGTGTGTTAAAAAAAAGTAAAATATTAGCGTGATGCGATATAGGAGGAATCTGAAAGTATTCGTGGGGCGATTCTCAAATACGCGAGCGAAACGATAAAATTACGTCGATGAGATGAACGGGGGCGCGACGATCCCACGACTTGCCGCAAAACAAGGAGACGACTCAATCTGAGAACCGATTCGTTTTTCACGCTGCAGTTAATGGGGTGGCCTCTTCGTGGCTTTAGGGTCAAAGAAGAACCCGCAATAAACACTGAAGAACATTGATACACGTAATATTTGATGCACAAATATTTTTTCTTTGCCCTTTGTGTATACAGAATCCTAACGTGGCTTCGCTGTTTCACGCCTGCAGCGTTTGTATGAACCGATCGCATACAACGTACGTGCATCGATTCTCAAATTTCCTTATGTAATATCGCGCGTGTGTGTCTTCAGTGTTTTATGGGGAGCGGTGGCACAGTGGTGAGCGCACTTCGCCACAAACCCGGCGAACAGAGTTAAAATTCTCACTCACGGTCAATCGGTGAAGAATATCTGAGCCACTCCTGGGCCTTGCCTCAGTGGACTCGACGTTAAATGAGAACCCGGTTACGGTGCGTAAACATCGCCACTGGGGAGACAAATGCGGCCGGGCGTGGCGCTTAACACCCACCCCCTCGTGTGCCGTGTGCGGCCTTCATAGGTGCTCGCTAACAGCACTTGCCCCATCAGCCTCTTAAGGCTATACGGCGGATCTTTGTCTTTGGTGGTGAGGAGATAGTCAAAATTTAAAATAAACGTTCAGCGGAGTGATTCGGGGCGGGGTGGGGGCGGGGACCTTTGTTATGGAGTGTGTCCAAGATGACGGAACCCACCTGCTTCAGCCAGAGCGAGGCGGAACTCGTACCCGTTCATGTTTCCCGAGTGGTCCATGTCGAACTGTCGGAAGATTTGCTGCGGAAAACGACAACGGACGCAACGAGAAGACCCCATTTTTTAAAAATCGTCGACGCTGCTCATCACCCACGCAAAGATTCGCTCTCACTGCCTGCGCTCGGATGATTCGTCACCTATCCACGGTCACGATCCCAAAATCGATGCTGCTTTTTTTTGTCTTTTTTGTCTCTGTCGTCTCGCTAATTCGAATGGTTTCCCATTCGTGGTCTTGCCTCTAAAACCATTGGCCTCAACGTAACGAGCACATTATTTGCGAATACGCTTTGATAAAAATGTTCATTCTCAATCGACTTCGATGCACGTGTATCACGATCATAATAAGCCACTTAAAACAGCAAGTCGATAAATTGTAACATGCCCGTCATTTAAAATGCGACATGATGAAGACTTATAAGTGTGCTGATGGTTCAATTAGATCGCGATTCATGCATCGAATCGTACGAGCGAGGTTCAATTTATGCCGATTCGTATACTGGACAGTATTCAGTTATGGCTCTGCGTGCTGGGTTCACGTAAACCCCTGAAGAACACGATATTCTCCACTCGGTTACCGACAGAGAATGAGATTCCCGAATCGAATTCCGATCGCGAATCATGGAAACGTATCAAGTCAGGTGAATCTTCACGTCTATGAATTATGTGGCAAATACAAACTGTATCGCGTGTCTGTTTGTAAAGTGTGAGCACACACCAAAATAGACATATTATGTCTAAATATACCTGCACAATCACCATAATTCTGAAGGGGAAAATGCTTAAAACGCCGATGACAGAAAGTTTTAAATAACACCATGTCGGGTCGTTTAGCGTTTAAAATAACCTCCTTTTGCGATTAGACATTCGTTGTGAAATATATTTCAAAAGTAATGCCACGGTTGACGAATCGGGCTCCGCCTGCCACGGCCCGGACGCTCACCACGTGTCGAGTGACGATAACGTTACCACGCTACCCACAGCTCCCCGGAGTTGTGTGGCAAAAAAACGAAACCACACGCGACCACCACCGGTCCCCTTTGCTCCCCCTCGCTCTTGTCACCTCCCCCCACCGCCGCCACCACCACCACCACGAGCTCCACAAGCCGAGTGTCTGTGACACAATGGGGAACCCCGTTGCTGCCACGGGGGGCAGGGCGGGGGGGGCGGTTGTGGTCGGCTCTGGTTCAGACGGAAAAAACCCGAGTCTCGCTTCCCCGGCCACACCTGCCACGTCTTGATGCGTTGCCACAGGAAGTTGAACTCCTTGATGCCCAGCTTGCCGTTGCCGTCCCTCTGGGAAAGGTGGCGCAATGTCAAGGGCATTCAAAAAGTGACGGACGCGTCAATGGGCCGTCCTTCTTGGGTGCGGAAAGCCGCTCGACGGCGTCTGGGGCCACCAGATGGATCCCATTTGCAGCGAGTACCGGGAGACGGTAGGATTGGGACCTCACCGCAGTTACGATAAGGGGAGAAGCCCTCAAGCCGTCACTTATGGAGGTAGCCGTACCTCCCTGTGAGGGGCGGGCAGGAGCCGTGCTCCCTTTGCTGTTCGGTGTTTTCTGCGCTAATCCTGTGAGCGTGCGAGATTCTGCGAAAGGATACGTCCATGAGTGACACCATGTTGCGGCAGGCGTCCAGGCTGAAGCCGTCCGTCTTGAGGTCGGCATCTGATCGGCGTACGCACGTCGCAAGGCACCCAATCGGATCACCACAACGCGCATCCCATTACTGCTGAACAAACTTCAACAGGACATGTCACTGACACCCCAGGTGTTATATGACAACCAACTAAATGTCAACAGGGCCACAGTTCATGTGAAAGACAATTGTATATCAACAGTACAGTCGTCGTTTGACAAACTTCAATGGAAAGTGAAATCAGACATGAACAGTACGCGTGCTATGTGACAACCACTCAGACATCGATCAATAGGAGGCTCGTCGTGTGACAAACGCTCAACCACTGACGGCAGACTCGTCACACGGTGAGGAACCGCCGCCACCCCATGGAGCGTCACGTGGCCATCGCCAGTGTGTAGCACGAGGCTCGCGCGCCGCTCACGCGCGCCGCTCACGCGCGCCGCTCACGCGCGCCGCTCACGCGCGCCGCTCACGCGCGCCGCTCACGCGCGCCGCTCACGCGCGCCGCTCACGCGCGCCGCTCACGCTCGCGCGCCGCTCACGCGCGGCCGCGCCGCTCACGCGCGCCGCTCACGCGCGCCGCTCACGCGCGCCGCTCACGCGCCGCCGCTCACGCGCGCCGCTCACGCGCGCCGCTCACGCGCGCCGCTCACGCGCGCCGCTCACCGCGCCGCCGCTCACGCGCGCGCTCACGCGCGCCGCTCACGCGCGCCGCTCACGCGCGCCGCTCACGCGCGCCGCTCACGCGCGCCGCTCACGCGCGCCGCTCACGCGCGCCGCTCACGGCGGCCGCGCCGCTCACGCGCGCCGCTCACGCGCGCCGCGCCGCTCACGCGCGCCGCTCACGCGCGCCGCTCACGCGCGCCGCTCACGCGCGCCGCTCACGCGCGCCGCTCACGCGCGCCGCTCACGCGCGCCGCTCACGCGCGCCGCTCACGCGCGCCGCTCACGCGCGCCGCTCACGCGCGCCGCTCACGCGCGCCGCTCACGCGCGCCGCTCACGCGCGCCGCTCACGCGCGCCGCTCACGCGCGCCGCTCACGTTTTCCACAACGCGGTTGAGGATGTCCCGCAGCTCCGTGGGGCTGATCTCGTTGTCCTGCAGCGACCGACCAAAGTGGGAAGTCAGCGTGGGTGGCAGCAGAAGCGAAGCGCGGTTTTACAAATTAACTTAAAATGCACTCTCGGCCGATCGGTCGATTTGTGCGTTTTTCCGTCTGACGATTGACTCGATGATGGTGAAAACACGACAAGGTGACAGGTGTTGCGCTGAACAGCTGACACGACGTACCGCTCCGGCGAGCCTGGCAAACACATTGACGAAGGCCGGGTCCACTGGCACCTCCAAGTCCAACTATAACATGTGCGGCACGCAGCGGCACAAACAAAACAAGGAACAACAAAACAAACACGCACATTACAAACAAGATCCTCCACAGAACTTTACTCCAAGTCCAGCCTTCATAGCCTTCCTCTTCTACAATTATGACCGACTTACATCTGCTCGCAAATAAACGGCGCTGGCATTAAAAAAAAAGTACTTGTATAATTTCAAGAGTGGAAAAAAACGAGGGCGTTTCAGGAAAGAATGGGGAATCTCACCTCGGGCATTACAATGTCGACGTCATCGTCCATTTTTCTGGAACAGAACAGGAGAAGAAACGCTGGCATCACACAGATAACAGCTTCACGTTCGAGCACTTGAGAGGGGCGTGGGTGAGCCCCCGCTCGCCTACACGATCGCCAATTATCTTCTCTGTTCTTTCGGTAAAGTCACGTAAAAGGGAAATAATAAAATAATAAAAATAGAACCAAGAAGATGAATCCCTGCAGTCACGAAAGCTTTAAATCGAAAGATCGCCAATTAATTTTAAGGGCCCCCTCCGTGTTGAAAGCTGTGATCTGGGTTGGTCTGATTTAGAGGCATACCAATTCCACCTGCTCCACCCTTCCACCAGGGAGCAGTGGCTTTGAAATTAAGAGAGGGTGGACCCGAGGAGGAATGACTTCACGTGCACTCCGCTGGGAGGCCTGGGTGACCTTGTGGTTGACATGGCTCTCTACTGGGATGCTACACCATAAACCATCACGCGAGCTCCAGGCATCCTCGCAGCAGCTTTTGGCTATCCATCGAACAAAGACGGCCACTGCATCGGGCGCTTTCAGATGCGTTTCTGCGGCCGTCTGGAATCCTCTTCTGACATTAGGAAGGCACTGGAGCTATGCACTTAAAAATGTAGATTGAGAACTAATTTATTTAGAACTGCATTTTGTGCTTAGTTTGTCGTCCATCCCCCGGCACCTCCGATCGAATTGAGTAGGACATTGCCAAAGAGGACATTAAAGACCCATGTTAATGTATTCTTTGGTTCTTTCAGTAAAGTCACGTAGATATAAAAAAAATAAGTGAATAAAAATAAAAAGAATATTAATAAATAATAAACAACAAAAACAAGAATCTAGACTGTAGCCTGGTCCTTAATTGGAGTGAGTGTACTGGCAGTCAATAATGGAGACTATAGCCTGGTTATTAAGTTTGGTGAGTGTACTGGCAGTCTATAATGTAGACTGTAGCCTGGTTCTTAACCTCGGTGAGTGTACTGGCAGTCGATAATGTAGACTGTAGCCTGGTTCTTAATCGGAGTAAATGTATTGGCAGTCTATAATGTAGACTGTAGCCTGGTTCTTAGCCTGAGTGAGCATACTGGCAGTCTATAACGTAGACTTATTCTTGGTTCTTTCAGTAATTTAAATATAGTAAAAATAATCTCAGATGGAATTCATTGTTTCAAAGAGGACTATCAAGGTGTTAATAAAACAGAGCAAGGTCTGTTTAAACACATTAACACGTAGAGCCATCAGCATACTACACGTTTGTCAAGATATTAGGTGCTGAAGTGGGAGGTGTGAGAGTAGTGGTGATCGTAGTAAGAGGTGCAAGTTGTGGTCGTGGCAGTATTCGTTATGGTGGCAGTGGTGGTGCTGGCGGTAGTGGTGGTAGTGCTGGTGATAGTGGTATTGGTAGTGGTGATGTTGGTACTAGTGGTGTTGGCTAGTGTTGGAGCTGGTAGTGTTGGGTTTGGTGGTGGTGTTAGTGGTGTTGGTGGCGTTGGTGGAGGTGTTGTTGGTAGTGTTGGAAGTGGTGATGTTTAGTAGTCTTGGGTTGGTGGTCGTGGTGGTAACGAGAGTACTGGTGACGGCGGTGGTGGTGGTGGTGTTCATAGCGGTGGTAACGACCGTGCTGGTGGTGGTGTTAGCGGCGGTGGCAGCACTCACTCCACCGCTTGCTGCTTCTCCGAGAAGACGCGCAGGATGAAGTCGGCCTCCTGGTTGGGCTCGAAGGAGGAGGGCATGACGATGTACTCGCCCGGGGGCAGCAGAAAGCGCTGGGACACCTCGCGAGTGTTGATGAACACCTCGGAGCGCGCCTTGGACGCGTGGAATTGGAAGAAGTCCTTCTTCAGCTTCAGCTGCGGCTGCCCCACGTGCTGCGCAGAATCAGAATCTTTGTTCATCCTGGAGAAATCCGATGAGCTATGAAGCTCTTTTTCACAGATGTCCGATAGGGGCACGGGGTCAGAACGTTACAGCAGGCGGCGGTCGGGTACACGGAAATCCAAGACGCGTTTCGCCTGTCGTTTGTAAAGCTTTCATTTAGTGGGATCAATTGTGTTCTCGTTATTTACCGTCTTGTTTGTATTGTGTCTCATCGGTCCTCTCTCAATTATTTCCATGACATTGCTATATCATTGGCTTTCCAATTGTAAATTATCGGAGGTGTAACGATTCACACCCTTAGTACATTCGACACGCTGATGTGACTTAAAGTCACAATTAAATTGAAGGATTTTAACACTTCATTTGTTATTGCTGTGAATGTGGTGACCACTTGTGGCTGTTGCGTCACGTGAACCCATCATACACAATAAACACACATTTTTACATGCGTGATTCGACGCACTTATCGTGAGCTCCGCAATCAACATTAATCAATGACTCCATGCATCCATTTACACCTCTACAAATAACCTATTCTTATCCAATCAATCCAGTGGCATGCATCATAAGTGTAATCATTAATTTACATTTATGAACTGGTGAATCACTTGACTATAATTTTTCTTTTTTGTACACGGCGATCCGTTTTCCATGCCAGTGAAATTCTGTCCTGCACGCTAAAAAGCTCTGATACTTAAATGAGACGGTGTTCATGTGACTCATGGGACACTCGCGCTGATGCGATCCGACTCCCCGTTACCCCATGTCCAGCCAAGCAAGCCCGCTAGGTCCTAGAAGCCATGGCCACTGCTCGCTGGGTGGCCTTTTCATTTTAGTTCGTCAGCTCCGGTTCCCGGTTCAAGAGCCATTTCAAAACAAGCAACCCGCGGGGTTTCACGGCTTCCTGCATCTTTGGCGGACTGATTACAATCCTGGATGCTGCCTCGGCATGAAGATAATTGAAAACAACACTCAATAATAATCATATTCTTACAGCCCATGGTCAAGTCACTGCTGGATAAAGGCTTCCCCCATACAATCACACCTACAATTAACATAATTGGCTACGTGCGGTGTCAAACAAGGGAGTTGTTGGACCATACTGCACCACGATGGTCAGTGTGTGATGGGAGTGCGCCCCAGACCGTTTCAGCGACCACTCGTCACCGATGCTCGCCGTGACCAAAAATCTTATTGGGACAGCCCGGTTCGTGGTGAGGAGCGCCAAACGCTGTGGCACCAATCCCGCTCCCACCACTGCTCTCGGCATTTGAATGCGTGAACACGAAACCGTGGTGGGTTTGAACTGGGGCGGGGGGGGGGGACTTGAGCAGTCTGCCGAGTGTGAATGTTCAAGTGCGGCGCTTTTGACGGCGTGGCGTTATCCCGACGGCCGTCTCGCGGAGCCGACCACGTCTGCCGAGGGGCACATCTGTGTGGACACACCAGTGCAGAACGTACCGACTGTGGGACCTGCAGAGAAACAACAAAAAAAACGAAAAAATAGAATTAAGCGTTAAGACGCGGCGGGGTGTGCACGCGCGATTGTGGCACCTCGTCCGTGACCTCCGCGTGTAGACTCGTGACTTTACCGAAAGAACCAAGAAGATGAATCCCTGCAGTCACGAAAGCTTTAAATCGAAACTCGGCTGAAATGAATCTGCGGTTACTAATGTCCTTCCCTGCACCTCCGATTTTGTCATCCTTTCCCCGCACCTCCGATTAGCACGGTTGGCTTCGTACGGTGTGAATGAGATTCAACGTACACACGTACATACAAGGACGTTTATGTTGGCAGCCCGAGTTCTCTCCCAGAGGCTGAATTTGCTGATCCAGAGTGAAACTTGTTTTTGTCAGATGGTGGCCATGTGAAAAAACAAAACATTTCCAGCACAAACAGCCATTGTGAAAAATAATTTTGAAAAATGTGACGCGTTGACCTCCCCCATGGCACTTCGCTTTCAGCCAATTCCAGAGAAAATATTATTTTTAATAGAGCAAGTATTATTTCCAATCAACACTGCCTATCGTTTTTTTTAGCTAAACGGTGCCATTTGAAATCTGTTGAAATACGTAGCAGAGTGAATGCACAGCATTTTTTTCCCTTTTGAAATCAACACACGAATGACTGGACAGATACATAAATGAACGAATGGATGATTCAGCAGCAGCATCAGCGTTTCCCCGAGCGATCGGTGATGACGGCCGCGGGAGGAGCTGTAGGGAGGATGCTGCGGCGCGGTCGAGAGGTGCGGAGGAATCGGTTGAGCGGTGGCAGGGGGACGTGGGCGAGGGGCGGCCGCAGCACCTGGTAGATGGCGAAGCCCATGGTGAGGAGGTCGCGGCCCTGCCGGCGCTGCTTGCGTCGGTCCTTCTGCATGAGCGCCACCACGACGGTGCAGCCCTCCTCGTCGTCCTCGGGGTCGTCGTCCTCCTCCAGCAGGCTCAGCCGGAACTGCGGGTTGCTCCAGAAAGTGTCTGTGGGCACGCGGGTAAAGAAAGAAAACAAATAATGAGATTCGAGGGCCACGGCGCACGAGCGTGCGGCGCGAGGGAAAGAGCGAGTGTGTGAGCGAGCGTAAAACCCAGCGTGCAACAAGGCCAAATGAGTGAGAGTGCGAGAGCGCACGAGCGAGAGACAGGGAGAGACGCGTGCAAGCGAGCGTCCGAGAGGGGGGAGAACTATGCGATTGGAAACGCGAGTGAAAGGGACAGCGAGTGAATGAGCACATGAGGACAGCGAGTGAGAGTCCGCGCGTGCACATGGATGGCGCACGAGAGAGCGAGCGCCTTCAAGAGAATTAGCGAGCGCGACAGCAAGCGAGCGAGCGAGCATGCGAAGGAGAGACAGCAAGCAAGTGCAGCAACGGTGACCGATTGAATGAACCAATGCATGAAAAAGCGGGCTGCCGAGCGAGCGAGAGGCAGAGCGAGCGACCCTCACCCGGGAAGTTTCGGCAGCCGCCGGCGCTGCAGCCGCGCACCCAGCTGCCCTCGTGCACCACGGAGCTCCAGAAGTGGAGATTATCGTCCGAGAGCGCGTCCGCCGTCAGGTTGCAGATCTCCAGCCGTGAGAACTGGCGCAAGAAGTCGTCGTACGACATCCTGCGGGAGGGGAGGTCGGGGGTGGGGGGGCGGGAACGCACGTTAAACCACTTGCACTTTTATCAACATTGTCCTGCATTGCTAATCACCCGACAGCCGTCGCCAATTAAAGACAAGCCAAAGTTCGGTTGTGGCCATGCAACCCAAACTATGGACCACATAGTAAACCCACAGAGATACACAGACAGCCATAGAGATACATTAAAGACAGGCCACAGTGCGATTGTGGCCATACAACCCAAACTATGGACCATACAGTAAACCACACGAGTCTGCGCTCTTCAACGGAGGAGGAATATAAATTCTGGGGTCACGATTCAAGAATCAATTTCTTCTCTTCAACGCTGCCGTGAAGGTGGCGCCTCAAGTTGGCCGGTGGCTGCAGGGATCTGAAATAACCAAATCTGACATAATTCCCGTGATACGACTTGATGCACATCGGAGGAGTATCGAATGATATCCACGAATTTGCCAGACCCCAAAGAGGCCAAAGGGTGGAGAGATGGCCAGGAGGAGAGCACTCACCAGAACTCGCCATCTTCGCTCTTGACCATGAGCCGATCCCGATCGTCGTCCGACACCTCGTTCCACTGCCGCGAGCTAAGGGACGGGGCCACGCGTAAGCCAGACATACAAAGACAAAGACCCCCCCCCCCCCCGTGTAGCCTTCACAGACTGTTGGGGCAAGTGCTGTTAGCAAGTAGCAGCGCCTGTGAAGGTCGGCACTGTGGCACACGAGGGGGTGGGTGGCCAGCACCGTGCACGGCCATGGTGCTGCGATGATCATCACACACACACACCCATTATCTACATCGTGAACCATCTTCTTGGTTCTTTCGGTAAAGTCACGTAGAAGGGAAATAATAAAATAATAAAAATAAAAATAATAAAATAATTCTCACGACGTTTCGGCCACAACGCAAGCAGCCGTCCTCAGGTGAAGAACAGGTGTCCTTCAGACGCTGTCTTTCCGACAGACCTGTTCTTCACCTGAGGACGGCTGCTTGCGTTGTGGCCGAAACGTCGTGAGAATTATTTTATAATGTTTATTTTTATTATTTTATTATTTCCCTTCTACGTGACTTTACCGAAAGAACCAAGAAGATGAATCCCTGCAGTCACGAAAGCTTTAAATCGAAATCGTGAACCATTTACAGATATCCCACTGCTTTCGAGTGATCCTCTTGCGAACTTCTCTTCAGGTAATTGAATATCGTGCAGCGATGGCTTCATATCTCAGGGGACAGCGTGAAAAGAATTGAACACGTGTATTGGGATTTGTGAGTGACGTGTAGAGGCTTTGAAATAAAATGTCGTTCATTCAATAGTGTTCTCCCTTCTCATGTTAGTGGATATCTATAAATGGATCAAACTGTAGCTTAACCCGACATAACTACTATTTGTAACTATTTTTATTTTACCAGGCATAGCCCACTAAGCTATATAGCTGTTTTTCAGAAGCGACCTGGCCACAAATGATAGCTCAACGAGTGGCAGATGTGGAAATGTATAGCAGCCAAATACTGTAAATGCATGTTGATACTAAATATGGAGGGAAAACCGGATGATCCGGAGAAAAATCCACACAACCACAGGAGAAAGACATTCAAATGGAAATATACAGCAGGCATCAGGGTCAAAATTTAACCCACGACCGCCTGCATATCAGGCGAGATAGTTAACATCTCGCCACCGCGGTGAGATGTTAAAATGGCTCACACTGTAGTTCAACACCACATCATGCACATTCCCAGGCCGCAGACCGATCGGGTCTGCTCTGTAACCCGTACGCCCACTCAGAGTTGGCCCGTGGCCAAAGTGCCCGGTGACAGGTCCCGACAGCCAGTGACGGGATGGGCTGTGCACCTGCAGTGCCACAATTGCGGAGCACACTCCGTACAAAGGATACGTCATTAAACATGCATTAAATACACCGCGGGGGGCCTGCTCCTAATGTGGAAAGTGATCTCAGCCTTTCAATCGGTTGTTCGTGTTCCCTTTAAGCACCGAACAAAGGCGAATGGTACACAGGCTGTGCGTTACATCGGAAAGGTGACAGGAGCTGTGTTTCCTTCTCCGCAATGATATCCTAATTGTGCTTCCATTGTCGACTATCAAGGGGTTAATAAAAAATCCATTCACATAATTCTTGCAGAGCCAGTGCATCACCCCAACGTGTTACAGAATGGCCCGTGGAAGGAGATATCATAGAAGCACTTCCTAAATATTTTCAAGTGACCTCTTATCCACACCACGGGGGTGAGAACGTCACCATCTGCCCCGCTGCGCCAAGCAATGATCATCCTGTGACAGTCCAAACCGATACTGCATTTTCAGAGCTGGAATTTAAGCAAATTTAAGTGAAAATCAAAGCACAATTTGCTATTGTGGGGTTTTTTCTTCTTCTTCTGTGCACTCATTGGCGACTGGTCTTAGACCACCAACTCACACCACTTAAGAACCCAGTATAGTTCAGAATCATAATCAGAAATGTAGCCAGTAGAGTTAAAAATCTCTTTTTCATGAGCGACTCGACCGGCAGACATCAAAGCATTCCACAACAACATTAAAAAAACCTTGATAATAACAATTACGTTGTAAAATTACATTCCCACTTAAACTCGAGTGATTTTAATAGCGTGATGCTGCTGCGTTGGGCTTTGGGTGCACGAATAATACAACTATTGAGCACATTTGTCAATACCACAGCCTTCAAAATAAAATATAAATTAGAATGCTGTGAAGGAGGACTACTTCCCAAAACGTCGCCGATTGTTTACGTATCCAATCATGGACTGCTGAAAACTGGATGCGAAACTCAGGATATTTCTGTGGTACCTGCCAAGGAGTCTCACCTCTGAGCAAGAGGGAAACAACCCTTCTTATGATTCTATGTTTAATCGTGACGATCTAGCATTTTAAAGTTAATTACACACACATCAGATGAGCTAATATCTGTCAAAATGTTTACATCCGTGCTTTTGTTTTTTTAAGTCCTCGTAAACTGTAAGGCAAACAGCTGATGCCTTGGGCTTCCTCAGAGATTTACACCTCGGAGCATGTGAACATTTGTTCTCTCATCCCCAGAATTAGGCCTGCCCATCACCACAAAATGGCAACGATGTAGACGTCATCATTGGCCTAATGATCCACGACATGTCAGGCGTAAACATTGCCATACAACCGGGCCAACATTTAGCAACGCGCCAATCGTTCAGGAATATCTCGCGAACACCCGCAATGTGCACGGGGGGGGGGGGTGGGGGGGGTGTGAGCGAGCAACAGAGGCAGGGCGCACGAGCAGGTTGGGCGGGTGGGTGAGTGAGTCGGCAGCGAACCAAATTGGTGGCCGAGGGGGGTGGGGGGGAGCGAGACGGTCGACGAGCGGCAGAGCGAGCGAGCGAGCAGCCGAGCAGGACGAGTAATACCTGTCACTCCACGGGCCGACCCACTCGACTTGGCCCCAGGGGTTTCGGATACGGACGAGCTTCACCATGCCTCCGTTGTGGTACACCTGCCCGCACACACGCCGCCAGAAATTTGTGAAAATTTATTCTGAAGGTGACCTAAGACTAGAGAGTGCGATTTTCGCACCGTGCAAGTGGCTAACCCATTCGAACCAATATCCGCTCGACGGTGCGGTTTGAATTCGCTCACGTGCGGCTGCGCGGTCGGACGTGGGACAGCATTGCGAGTGTACCGTGCGCTAATCGGCAGACGGCTGTCTCGTGCGGCTTTGCTTTGTGCGCCATTTGCCGCATAAAGCGAGGGAAACCTGTGCTTCTTCAGGTACTGCGATGGTTTTTCCCATTATGTACAAAGGCAGTTGTGCTTTTTACACGTGTTTGCGTGTCGTTTGAAACTTGTGGTATTCCAGCCTGCGCTATTATTTCCGTTGCGTTAGGCTTTTCTCGTCAACTGCAGAACCGACGCGTTCTCCATCGGCTCCCCCTTGAACGCATGCTCTCTTAACAGCCAGCACGACAACGTCACCGTGCTGCGTCCGTTCTCTGGTCCACGTTGCCCGACACAGCAGCTCGGTGCATTTTGCGTTCGGTGTCGAGGCGGCGTTCACGAGGGACGCCAGCCGGAAGGTGATTAATCACGGCCAGGGGTGTGGCGAGAAACTATTTTTATGAAACTAAAAAAACTGGGCAAGGCTCTTTTTCAGACGCGTTCTGGCCACAAATGATAGCTCCACGGAGCGGCTTATCACGTGGAAATGTATAGCAGGCAAACACCCTAAGTGCGTGTCGATTCTAAATGTGGAGGAAAAAACCGGAGGACCTGGAGAAAAATCCACACGCTCACGGGGAGATAGACACGCAAACTCCAAACATACAAGGGGTCAGGGTTGGGATCGAACCCACGACCTCCTGTACACCAGGCGAGGTAGGTAACATCTCCTAGCCACCGAGAAGCTCGCACCTGGTCCACACCCGTGACGGAGTAGGCGTGGCCCTTCACCAGCTTCCACGTCGTGATGGCCTCCGTGTCGGCCGCGCTCGTTATCTGTTCGCGGGAATAACAGGAACAGACAAATCGATTAAAACTGAAAGGCACCAAAGATCAACCATATACAGTAGCGTTTAACAGACTGTTGAGGCAAGTGCTGTTAGCGAGCACCTATGAAAGGCCAACATGGCACAAGCTGGGGTTGGTGCCCAGCACCAAGCCCGGCCACCTTTGTCTCCCCAGTGCCGGGTATTCGTTTTTAAGGCCGAGTCGACCTAGGGGAGGGCCAAGGACCGGCTCTCATACCCGTCACCGATGTTGGCCACAAGCGGGATCGAACGTGGGTGCCCGGGTTCGTAGCGCAGTGCACTAACCACTGCACCACTGCTCCTCATACACAAACAGACTGCGCAGATACAAATCACTTCTTCAATAGCAACTGCGGTCGTGAAATGTGCGACCATCGTTTTCAGAATCAATGATTGATTCCGCAAGTCACGAAAATGGCATGGCGGCTTTTTGTCAAGTCACGAACGAACCGATTATAATGTCAAGTCAGGCTTGAACCGGTTGGCGAACGTTTCAAACCTCGCGGCACATTCCAACGCGATTGGTTAGCGGCAGGCATCACAGACCTCGAGAGCCCAGCGGCAAGGCTCGTGAGTCGCGTTGTGGTACATCCCAAAATAATAATAACAATGCTTTAATTTTGTATAGCGTCATTCATGCTAAAAGCATCCCATAACGCTGTACATTAATGATATATAAGGACCAAATCCCATGTGCAGCTACTACCAAGCAAATGAAAACCCTACGACCAAGCAAAATGTAAAACGAAATTCAGAAATGGCACCAAAATAAAAATGACAAACAACTAAAAAGTGATCACAACAAATAAATCAGTAAAATGTGTATTAACTTCTGGATAATAGCCTCCTCCCCACCACCATCATCATAATCGACTTTATAGTCAGCCATTGTCTATCCACTGCTAGGTCAAGAGGCCTCTCCATGCCTTCGCTGTCACCCGACACGTGTCCGTGATGCCACAATCCATCTCACGGAGTTGATCTCAGCAGTCCCACCTCTGCCGCGGTGGAACTCTCGACCAAGCTCCCTCCTTTGGCTGCCGTTCCGTCAGCAGTCTCGAAGAAACCCCAAGTGTGAGCATGGTTTTCTAGACGCCCGCTATAGAATGCCAGTGAGAAACCTCACGCGCAGTAAAACCCCCCAACAGATAGGATTTTATGTTTTCTTCGTGCCAAATAACAAGACACTCGCACTCATGCCAAGTGTCCAACAAGGGCGCCTTTGTGAGTGCGCATGGCTGGCTGTGGCGCGAGAGAGCGAGCAAGCGGGCAAGTAGGCGAGCGAGCATACGGATGAGTGAGCGAGCGAGCAGGTGAATTAGCTAAAGGTTGCGGAAGCAGACGAGTCAATAAGCGGGTGAACGAATGAACGTGCGAGCGTGCGTGTGAGCGAACAGGCGAGTCAGCGGGCGGGTGAATGGCCGAGATGAGCGAGTATGATAAACAAGCGACTGGGTGAGGAGGCGGGCAAGCGAGCAAGTGGAGGAGCGGGGCTTGCGTACGTCGATGGAGCAGCCCATGAGCGAGCCTCTCTGCACGCCCTGGTTGAGGAGTTTCCAGAGGTTATGGGGCGCCTTGGAGAGGGTGAACGTCTCGGTGACACCGCCCGTAAAGTCCTCAAAGCCCTCGCTCGTGCTGCCCCCGGTCAGGGCTTCGTACGAGCCGTTCATTCTGCACGTGGGGGGGGGGCAGAGGGCAGAGGGCAAATGTTAGAGAAATGGATTGCTGCTCCAAAGCTGCGTTTAGATCTGCACCACATCTGCACCTCCTCACGTGTGGATGTTGTCAACATTATTTTTCATTATCTCGTGTGTGTGTGTGTTTGCTGCAAGCCATGGAGGCGGGGTTTATTTAACTTTGCCGTAATGGTCTTTGAAGCGTCACGGGCCACGCACGGCGATATTACATTTCCCGAGCTCGTTAATTTATGCATGATGCAACGACGGGCGAGCACGCTTTTGCTCACAGTGTGGGTGTGGTGGCTAAACGTGGGCAGATGTTGTGACCGACACAGCACATTAAGTATCCGACGCATATGGGTTACACTATTACCGCTGCTGCTTTAAAAGATTAATTAAAAAGTTTTCTAAAAATCTCACGACATACACAGAATCGTATGAATGTCATAAGTGGCTCCATCTTAAAATGGACCGTGGGCAAATGCAACGCCTCCTGTGAGCTGGTCACAAGATTTATTGCGAGAACTCAACATTCCTATGACGAGGTTGACCTTACAATGTGATGATGCACATTGATAATGATGGTGACGATGCTGCTACCAACGACTTAGAGAGACGCGCATCGACTCTCGAACCATCATAAGGCGTGCATTTCAATGACAGTGCAAACTAAGACGGTGGCAACACCCTTGCAGTGCCACGCTACATCGCTCGAAGACATTGTCATTCTTGTTATTATTAGCAACGAAGCATACGTGAATGTACAAAAACAAAAACACAGCTGCAGCATGAGAACAATGAGCCCAGCCAAGTGGCTCGAAACCAGATGGCAGTCTTTACGCGGGCCCCACGACGAATGCCATCAACGTGGTGACCAAAAATCTCCCGGCCTCCAGAGCGACAACACAAGCAAACCGAGCACTGCTTCTCTCCGGACAGTGAACGGGGGTCATTGGCTACGGCAGCGAGGGATCCGCCACCCTCTCTCACCAGCAATGTGCGAGGCCGGACCCAGTGTCCCCGGATTACTGGGCATGAGGCCCACAAATTCACACGAGGCCCACAAACTTCCTTCGGCAGCCTACCCAAAGCAGGGGAGGCTGCGAAAGGAGTACAAGTTATCCATAATAGTTTTTTTTTGTGTTAGAACTCGTAAAACCTCTATTATGGATAATAACGGTCGTGAAAGCCTACGTGTTAAACAGATGTTGGGTGTTTTTAATAACGGTTTGGATGAAGGCCCTCCCCACGCGTTTTGGTCAAGGGGAGTGTTTTTTGACAATATTTCACCACGGCCGGTCAGGGCGAGTTGATGCCATGGCTGCCCAGGACCGGTTCAGATGTCGCTCGCCACTGATGTGAGCCATGGCTCGGATTTGGACTGAAGTCGCCGGGTTAATGGCGAAATACGCTCAAGCGCTACGCCGCTGCTTCTTCTTCCAAAAACCAGTTTGAAGCGGCAACTTTAAAAGATGCAAGTTTTGCTTTTCTTCCTTAACTTTTGAATGTAACCCCAGCTGAAAACCAGTTTGGTTTTGGAGTGAGCTGGACCAGGCTTGCCTAAACCTCACCAGGCACGACCAAAGGTCGCACAGTGGACATCTGTTTCCAATTAAGATGTATGGGCCACACGGAGAGTCGGTGAATTAGCAAAAAGGTTTGAATATTTTCACCGCTGGCAGTGGACTGTTAACTTTGACATTCTCAAAGTCCAGTCCCCACGCCCAACCACAGTCCACCTTATTACATTTGCCAGTCTTAATTATTCCAATGCAAACTAAGCCGTTGCTCATCCGACTGGTGAAATGTAAACGAGGTTGAGCTACAGCTTAAGGACAAGAATTTAGGAAATTATGGCTAAAAAGACAGTGCATTCCATTTGTTACGTACAGCGTATATATAGCATGTCGTTCTACTTATCACTGAGTATTTGTGACCTCAACGATGAAGCGACCCAACTCTGCAACGTTGGGCCTTGCCGTGACATCATTGGTATACAGCACCGTACTGTACTCCCATCCCGGTGACATTTACAATGCAACCTGCCCAGCTTCGTCTCCATCTACATCCATTCCTTTTTTCCCTCCTTCAACGGCGTTACGTTACACGTATGCACGCCACCACGCCTGTGGCTAAGCGTCCAAAACACTTGGTTTGTATTTTTATCACGGGATGCAACCTTGCTCTTTCAGCGACCTCTCGTTGTCACACTTGCGTCAGGGCTTTGCAATCGTCATCTCCGCCGCCGCCGCCACCACAGCTCTCAACAGCTGTGTGGTCATCCTCGTCCTACCGCCGCATCGATCAGCCGCGTTTCACATTCAGCGCGCATCGCATTCGGACAAAAAACAACGATCTTCTTGGCTCTTTCGGTAAAGTCACGTAGAAGGGAAGTAATAAAATAATAAAATAAAACATAATAAATAATTCTCACGACGTTTCGGCCACAACGCAAGCGGCCGTCCTCAGGTGAAACCAGGTCTGTCGAGAATTTTTTATTATGTTTTATTTTATTATTTTATTACTTCCCTTCTACGTGACTTTACCGAAAGAACCAAGAAGATGAATCCCTGCAGTCACGAAAGCTTTAAATCGAAAAAAAACAACGATGTTTTAACGCGCCCGATTTTCTTGGCCCGGCTAACACGCCTTTTTGTTACCCATGTATAATATTTTAAAAAATACAGCGAAGTTGAGAGTTCAGATGAAACGCCAACGTTTAAAGAAGGCTTCTGCTAATAATGCACGCACAACTAGCTCACCAAGCAGGGGGCGAGGGGGTGGCTGGGGGGTGGCACGCTCACTGCGAACAGAGAAATTACATTTTGAACGCAACAAACGCAGTCTCTGAGCAAAGTGCTCACAAAGCACAATTGGCTATAAACAAAACAAGGGGGCTCCTCCGTGCATGCGAAATGCATCGCTTGTGCCGGAGAGGAGAGGGGGGGGGGGTAAAATCCATCTGTGTGTTTCTGCCTCTGCCTTGGGCTCAGAAGCACATCCTGCACGGGGACTGAGAAGAATGTTTGGTGCTAAACGCTGCACTGTGAATTATAACTGAATAATTTTTTTTTACATTTTAAAAATATATATTGCACTTAGATTTGCAAGCATTTTTTTTATCTGTCTTTTTGGGTTTTTATTTATTTTACTGTGACTTGTTGCGTTTGTCGGAGAAGTGGCGGCGGTGTTGTTTTTGTTGATGAAACACGATTCAAGAGCTCCTGGCGCACAGGGTACTTCAAAATAAACTGGAATGAACTTTAGTAACAATTTTGGAACATCTGTTATTTGCGCCATTCTCATAGCGCGAGGCGATTGCGGAAGGAGGCGCCGGGTTTCACAGACGCGTACAGTCTGCCAGCAGGGGGCGACGTCGCTGTGGTTTTAATAAGTTAACTCATTTGTGTTGATTCTAGATTTGAAGCTTTCGTGACTGCAAGATTCATACTCTTAGTTCTTTCGGTAAAGTCACGTAGGTAAAATATGAAATAAAATTAATAAAAAATAAAATAAAAATCACGACGTTTCGGAGGCAACACAAGTCTCCGTCATCAGGTGGGACCGCCACAGCCAGATTTGCTGCATCAAGTGAGGCAGGCAATTTTTATTTAATTTTAATTTCATCATTTGTGTTGGTTTCTCTTTTGCTCAGCAGATCTGCCGAAACGCGCACCGGGTCTTCTCTCGTATCCGAATGACACCACGCGTATCGCTGTTGTAACGTTTTTTAAAAATAAAATATCTTTCATTCCACATCATTGCCATTCTGGCTCAAGTATATATGACTGGCCTAACTAAGGTTTAGAAAAGGACCCCATGCGCGTTCTGTATTTTTTTCCTTGTCTCTGAGCTTATAGCTCAGATGCTCCAGAGCTGAGATTGGGCCTAATGAACACACAACCATTGACTACGGGAGGGGGGGGGGTTCCTGATTCTTCACGTACTCAAAATGGTTCTTCCGGCTTGCGAAATTGAAAGTCCTTCACAAAAGTTTACGTTGGTTTTTAAATAGGGCGAAATATTTCGCGGGAATGTTTGGCGATTCATGGTCACGATTTGACTCAAGAATCTATTCATTATCGTCATTATCATGTTGCGCGGTGGAAGTAGCGGCCGCTAGCGGCTGCCAGGGAGGAGAAGGGGGCGATCGCGCGAACCCATCTCAGACAGAATTTATTCATTAAAATGCAATGTTTGTAGCGTCAGCTTGAGATAAAACATAAGAATGAATGCATTTAAGTATCATGCCTTTCTAAAACGATAGTAAACAAAACAATTCATTTTAATTTCATCTGGTAAGGCCCACGGAGCGATATAACTCTTTTTCAGAAGCGACCTGGCCACGTATGATAGCTCAACAAAGTGGCTTATCACGTGGAAATTTATAGCAGCCAAATACTCTAAATGCATGTTTCTAAATGTGGAGGGAAAATCCGGAGGGGACCCCAAGAAAATCCATGTGACCACGGGAGAACGTGCAAACTCCAAATATACAGTCGTGAGGGTCGGGATCAAACCCACGACCTCCTGTCTACCAGGCGAGGGAGTTAACATCTTGGCACCATGGTGCCAAGGGACCACATTTGATTTCGGATTTTTAAAGCTCGTTCAGGGATGGTCAGCTATGCGGTACAGTGCTGACCGAGTGGTTTATTTACAAGAGAGATCTATTTATACACGGCAAGCAGCTTAAAAGACAAGCAGGCCCACTTTCTTGTACAGACAAATATCTCCAGTAACAGCCTTAAATAGACTGTTGGGAACAAATCCTATTAGTGAGCACCAATTAAGGTGTTGACAGCACCACACCCAGATGCCTTTGTTTCCCCAGTGCTTACAGACTTGCACCAGGTACTAATTTAAGGGTCAATCAACCTAGGGGAGGGCTCGGGACCGGTTCAAATATCACTTGCCACATCTTCTTCCTTCGTATGACGAGGTGAAATGTGCAACGTTCCTTGTCAATGTCGACGTTATTAATCCATTATTTTAAGCCACTCACTACTGACATTAGCTGGAGCCAGAATTCAAACCCAGGTCGCCGGGTTCATCGCGTACCACACTAACCGCTGTGCCACTGCTCCCAAACACTTTACCCGAGCTATCGACAGAATGCCTAATAGCTTTTTACATTTTGTATTATCTTTCGCCCCAGGTTTATCGTAACTGAAGAGAGATAAAGTATATCTTCTAGAGTCTACTTATACACACACACACCTTCAAGCTAATCTTCAAATGCACATGAATCACATCACATGTGCATACGTGCCGCACCTCAGATTAGTACGGTTGGCTACATACATATGGTGCAAAAAATAATTTCAACTTACAAGTCTGTAAATACATAAGCGACTGTAGCCACGAACCCATGCGTCAGCTGACAAAACGACTCACCTTCACACAAACCTACTTCGTTAGCAGCAAAGACAACGATCCTCCGTATAGCCTGAACAGACTGTTGGGGCAAGTGCTGTTAGTGGGTAGTACCTATGAAGGCCGGCACGGCACACGAGGGCATGGGTGGCCAGCACCATACCCGGCCGCCTTTGTCTCCCTAGTGGCTATGTTTACACACCACACCAAGTACTCATCTGAGGCTGAGTGGACGTAAAAGAGGGTTCAGATAATCGTCACGGCGTTGGTCTTGATCGGGAATCGACCTCGGGTCTCTGGGTTCGTAGCGCAGCGCGCTAACCGCTGCGCCACCCCTCTCATCCGGGCAGACGGACCGAGGGGCACTTGCTCAACGTGCCCAGAGGCTCACGTGGGGGGGCGACGCGAGCACGAGAGCGCGAGCACACTCACTTGGCGTAGGCCTTCTCTAGGAGAGCGCTCCAGAACTCATTGCCTTCGGCCGAGTGGACGAACACGAGCTCCCGGACTTGACGGGCAGGCGGTCGTCGATCACCACGTCGACCCACTCGCCAAACTGCCAGAACTGGCCCCGGCGAGACGCACGCCACCGGCAGACACCATCCACAAGCGCCGTTACGCACTCAAATGTATACGGTATACGCGTGTCTGTGTGTGTCTGTGTGTCTTTTATCCAGGTCATGCCTCTCATTCCCCAGGATAATCAAGAGTTGACCGTAGATATATGAATGAACTCGTAGATAAACTGACAGATCGGCATAGAGAGATATATTAGGGCTTTAACAAGTAATCTAATGATGAATATTGAATCTTTAAGCTCATGGCACACATCGACTTACCTGCGTAAGAATTGATGTTTTTCATTTTCGTATACGCTGTATACAAGTTTCATTTGGCCCTTCGAACTATTAGAAGCCGCTATATTCACAACAGTGTTAAACCAATAATCAATTATTTCATCAAGTTGCAATGCAGCACTGTGAACATTTTATGAAATCGCTGAGGGCGATTGGTTAAATCAAGACAGATGGAGACATACTTATTAAGTATAGGCGGAATGATGCCATTTATTTGCAAGTGAAAAATTCCACTTGGAGACTGTAGATTCACTCTTGTGGATCGCGCTGTTATCAAGCACCCATCATGGCTGTCGCTGCACAGGAGGCGACTGTGGTGCTGTGTGACCACCCTGCCACCTGGGCGACCTTTATCTCAACATTGCTGATGTTGACCACACCACAGCACGTTTGCACCTCCAATTAGCACGGTTGGCCACATACGGCGCAAAAGAAGTTTAACAGACATACATACAGACGTACGTACATACGTTAAGAGATTTTTTTTCACCAAAATTTGTGCTGCTCTACATTACAAACTAATTCACGGGTCGCTGAAGACGGCAGCGGGTCATGGCCGTTTAATGTATGGCTCAGCCGACCAAGGATGAAGAGCCTGGGTTAGGTGGGCATCGCGCAACGACCGCGAACTGCGTGATGCACGCACGGGGAGCTCGAAAAAACCGGGTCGCGGGATCGCGCAGCGCGGGTCAGGGCGGCGCGGCGCGGCACGCGATGACACAACGACGGGCGAGGAAAATAAAAACGCCCGTGCAGTTCCTCGGGCCAACTCGCGTTGGAACGCCTCCCCGTGGCTTTCCACGGCGCCGGCCCCAGTTGAGAAATCGTTGGATGGCGGCAATTGCCAATTTCGCCTACGGTGATGTAACGCAATCGCCTGCCGCCACTGCTCACTGGTATTTGCTCAGCGCGGTTGTCCCGGACATCGCCAAAGAGCTCCGGTTCACGGCTGGGGCACAGCAGGCCCTGCCACTTTGTTTGCTCAGTACAGCCCACCTCACATATCAATGCAGGGATTGTAACAGTGTCCTATTGAGCAAAGAATAATTTATCAATTGATATTTCACTTCGGCTAACACCATTCTGTTTGCAGCTGTCATGTTCTTGTGTTTGTACAATTGTGGTGTGTGCGTGCAAACACTGGGGTTGGGTCAAGGCGAGAGATAGTGTAGCTACAGCGTGGATCGTTGCGTGCACAAACGTAAAACACAGGTTGCTCATAATAAAGGTTTTGGGTTAGATCGCGTTATTTATAAATGTGTCGTTTATTATTTAGATTTTTTAGCTGCTATAAATGTCCAACTGACAAGCCACTTTTTTGAGCTATCATTTGTGGCCAGTTTGCAAATAAAAAATAAGTTCATACCTCAGTGGGCTTTGCCTGGTGGGGTGGGGATGGTTTAGTTTTATTTGTATATTTTTGGGTGATTTGTTCACCTTTGTTGTACTTTGCACTACTGTCGTGTTTTTTTGTATTGTTCGTTGCTGTAACGTCTTGACACCGCACCCCTTACTGGCCATCTGTGATAAAGTGAAAGCTCTTTATCACAAATATAAGAATCTGATTGTGAAGTTGTCGCACCTGGAAATGAAAGATACCGGCGTAGCCACCGGTGAACTCTTGGCCCGAGGGTACGACTCGCGCCAGCAGTTTCTCGTTCAGCGTCAGGGAGGCGATAGCCGCCAGCAGCCAGCAGTCGCCTGGAATGACAACGCACCAGCCAAAACGTGTGTTAAGTTGGTTGTCCTTCCGCACCTGGTTGTCCGATGAGCACGATTGGCTACGTACGGTGCGAAAGAAGTTCTACATGCATACATAAATCGTTAACACGTCCCTAAAACCTCCAAAATATTCATCAATGCATCCGTCAAAATAATAAATCGACACATCCGTTGAAAAAGTTACCATTAACCCATGCGCCAAATCATCAACATATCCGTCAAAAATGTGTGATCAACGCATCCGTCAAAAACAATCATCATCAACACATCAGTTAAAAAAATCAATAGAACAAACGAGACGTACACTACAACCAAGACAGGACAAACGAGTTCAGGATAGGGACTGATTCTTGATATGAATCATGAACCCAGGGTTGGGTGGCTGAACTGTTACTTGCCAAGTGGCTGGCCAAATCCACCCCTGGCCATTCAACAAAAGGTTACAGCTTCAATAACGAAAACAAAACCAAAAACTTCAAATCATGGTAAGTATTGTCGTTGCTTTGACTTTGCATTAACACATACCATAGCCACGTGACTGTGACATCACTAAAGTACCATAAAGACGCTCCTGCCCATGACTTTAAAGTATTTTTTATTTAATCAAGAATGTATCAATAATGTGTTGGACAGCACGGGACACTCAGCCTAGGTGCGCATGTACAAGACACCATCTGTTTGATTTTATTTGGGCTGGTCTTATTTTAAACTACAGTACAGA